ATCATATTATAATATCATATTTGTTACACACACACACACACACACACAGGTACACTGTTTGTTCCTCCAGGGTAAGTAGGGAAAGCTCAGGATGGTACGAATTCTTTTAAGCTGTGCTCCAGTCCTGAAATGAAAATGCTATACTCCCATGACACTTGACTCTGAGGGAGAGCCAAGTATCACTCAGGTACTTAAGTATCTTAGGTCATGTGGTATTGATGTCCTAAGAAAAACATGCACAATTTTAAGGAAGAGAGAAATCTGGTTTGAAGTGGGAGGCAAGGGAAGGAGTATAGTTTGCCTATAAATCTCGGGCAGAATGGTCTGCCTATTGATGGCATTTACAGTGGTTCCATTGCGACATCTAGTGGACATCTAAGGAGAAAACATTTGAGGGGAAATGATCTTGGCATATTTTCAAAAACTACAATTTATCAAAAACTATACTCTTTGCAATTACTTGCTATGCATCATGAAGCTGGACAATGACTAGAGATTATAGAAAGATAATTGATGGTTTTGAGTTGTGATGCTGGAGAAGAGTCTTGAATATACCATGGACTGCTAGGAGGACAAAACAAGTTTATCCTAGAGAGTGAGACCAGGCTTCTCCTTGGAGGCAAGGATTCTGAAGCTTCGTCTGACATAGTTTGGACATGTTGCAAGGAGGGACCAGTCCTTGGAGAGGGGCATCATGCTTGGAAGGGTGGAGGGACAGCGCAGGAAACGAAGGCCCTCTATGAGGTGGATTGATTCAGTGACTGGGGTAATTGGGATGGGAGTGTCAGAGACAGTGCGATTGGCACAAGACAGAGCAGAGTTTAGGGCTGTTGGACATAGGGTCGCTATGAGTCGCAAGCGACTCAATGGCACATAACAACAACAACAACAAACTAAAGGTGTTGGAAGGCTGACCAAAGGTTCGCCGACGGTTCAAGCCCACTCGCTGCTCTGCAGGAGGACAATGTGACCGCCTGCTCCTGTAAGATCCCAGAGTGGAAACCCCATGGGGCAGTTCTGTGCTGTCCTTCGAGGTTGCTGTGAGGTGGGACAGTCTTGAACTCTGTGGATTTGGTTTTGTTTACTGGACGTTTGTGAGATGACCTATAAAACTCTTTTGTGGAAGGGAGAGAGAACATTTGGGTTCTTCTGGACATGAGTTTTCATGACCTCCCTTTCCCATTCATTTTGTCCTCCTGCATCAACAGTCTTTATGTTTGCTCTGGAACGCGGGGCTGGGGGTACCCCGGAATATCAGGGTTCCCTCATGGGAACACACTGTTGGACATTGTCTGGGACTGCAGCTATCACTTTTTTTTTTTTTACATAATTAAGTTGACTATTTGTGTGTGTTGTGTCTGGGTCTGTGCTCTGTTTCTTAATAAAGCCAAATGTTGTTGTTGTTGTTGTTGTTGTTGTTGTTGTGTGCCATCGAGTCAGATCTGACCCTCCAGTGGGTTTTCAGAGGGAGTAAATCGTATAGGAGGAGATTACCATCCTTCTCCCATGGAACAAATGGTGGATTTGAACTGTGGGCCTTCAGGATTGTACCACACCTTCTCACCACTAAGTTGCTTATTGCCCTTTTAATTTATTTTCTCCCCCAGGTATTTATGAGGACGAATACAATGGCACCCACAGCTCTCCCAAATGTGAGTAATAATAGCTTACCTGGGATTCCCAGAGTTATTCTGAGACCCTTTCTTAAATTATTGTAATCACTATGAATATGAATAACAGTCATAACTGGTAAAGGATTTTTTCCCTAATTTATATAATGGGCTGCATATTTTTTCATTATATACATTCTTACTAAAGTTCACATTAAACCAGAAATCAACCCACTGCTGTTAAGTAACTTGTGCCTCATACTGACCTGTTAAGAGGGAGTAGAACTACCTGACAGGGTTTCCAAGTCTTTATGGAAGTGGACCATCTCGTCGGTCCCTACAGAGCAGCTGGTGGGGGTGGACCGACGACCTTTTTTCTTAGTGGCCAGATGACTAATGCTATGCAATTAGGGCCTCTAGCCTCACACCAACCCTGCCAAATAGTACTTTCATCACAGAGATGAGGAGATTGGTCCCACAGTGTGTGAGGGCACAGTCTGAATCACTCAGGTCTGCCGGACTCAAAGTCCCTGCTGCTCCCCTAGGCAGTGGGCCTCTCCTTTACTCACTCTTTCTGGGGTCAGTTCAGTGCTGTCCCTCCTTCTACCAATGATGGTACAGACCCCATGGCCACCAGTAAAGTAAGTAGGAAGGGATTAAATATAGAGGCAACATTACAAAGCAAAAGGGAGCCCAGGGCCTGGACAAAATGAAAGGACATTGTCTAGGAGTCAGGAGCCAGTGGTCCTGGCGCCGCCTCAGCTCCTGACCCACCACAGAGCCTGACCAAGTCCTCACTGAGTGTCCTGTCATCACCCAGGACACACAGTAGATGCAGCGTGACTGAAGGATAATAGGCGTTGGACATGGGGCAGGTCATTCCCTCTTGCTTCTCTGATTTTGCCATCTAATTTGACAGAAGCTTCCAAGGACCTAGCAGGTTACTGTTGTGTGCTGTCCAGTCAGAACCAGCTCATAGCTGACCCTCCAGCAGGTTTTCAGAGTCTGTAAATCACAAGAGAAGAGACTGTCCATCTTGGTCCCTCAGAGATGGATTCATTTCTCACCTCAGAGATGGATTCAAGCCATGTGCCTTTGGCTTGGCAGCCCAACTCTAACCCTTGAGGCTACCTGAGCTCCTCCAAAAACTATTAGAAGGTAGAAAAGGAGGCCAAGGCCAGGAGGAAGGAAGATGGGGAGTGGGAGGGAAGGCAAGGAGGAGGTGAGGATTCACTAGAGCAATGCAGACAATGGTGGTTTTCATGGAGGAACTACCACAGAGTGTGTGGGCTAGCAAACACTATGTAGACACATCTAGTCTTAGTTACAGAATTTCTGGAAAAGGGCCTGGCACTCACAGCCGCCCCCCCACCCACCCACCCATGCTGCACACCCCCCAAGCAGTGTCCTGCCCCACAGAGAGGAGGAGTCAGAGATGGGACAGTAATGGCCCTGGGGACAGACTCTGCCCACTCCATCCAGCACTGGCAGCGGGGACCGACTCCCATCACCTACGTTCACCATGGCCCAAGTTCTTTCTTTTCTTTCCTCAGGCAGCACCAGCAGGGAGTTTATCTCCACGGAAACATTTGAAGAGTGTGAAGGTGCAGAAGAAATGGGAAAAGAGAGCAGCGTTCTGAGTGTAATTTGTTTTCCTTCCTGGTTCTTGCCTATTTCTCATTCCTGCTCAGAAGTGCATCACTACCCCTCTCTTCCAGCTTTCAGGACTTTTCCAGTTGGATGAGGCTTATGAAACCTGTACCTCCAAATCTCTTCTGGAGCCGGGAGATGGGATTCCAGGAGAAGAGTGGGAAGAAGAGACGTGAGTGAGGAAGAGGGGCAGACCAAGTCGGGGGGTGCCCATTACTCCTCTCATTTTCTTCCTGTGCTTTTAGGTCAGAAGACAGAGGTGAGGAGAGTGCTGCGGTGTCGCTGGGCCTCCACACCCCAAAGGACGCCTGAGGACCTCTTCCCCAGAGTGGACGCTATTTTCACGCCATCTCCGGCTGAGCCCTTCCTGCCTATTTTCAATGGAAGAGAGGTCCTAGTGGGTATCAAGCCCACTGCCCACCCTAAAGCAGAGGGCAGCTTGTGAACTGGCCACCCTGGGAGGGCCACACAGGGACGCCAGCCAGGGGGTGCCACCACCAGGTGTCAGCCAAGCTCACTGGCCCTGACCACTGCGGCTCACAGCGCTTACAGGGGCCACAGAGTCTAGCTTGGAGGTCCCGGCCCAGGACCCTCCAGTCGTGGCCCAGTTGTTTCATAATTCAGCTTTTCAGGCTGGATGATTCTGTGTTGTGAGGCTGTTATGTGCTTTATAAATATTTTCAGCAATCCAGTGACATCATCCCACTTACACTTGTGACAAAACCAAAAAATCTTCAGATGTGACCAGGCATCTCGGCAGGCACTCAGACCCCAGCAGGCTGGGGGTCTCTGGTTGTCTGAGAGGTTGTTCTGACTATGGGTGCCACGTGTGGGCGCCTTCATGACAGGATTGGGTCTCTTCATGCAGGTCTGCTTTCCAAGCTCCCTTCTGAAAACATTGACCTTTGGATTGAGGACTTAATTGTTATCAGAGAATTATTTCAGTGGTTTATGTTTCTATTTTTAGTCCAATTATTTTTCAGGTAATTTGCATTTTTTAATTTCCTAATTGCAGGAGTGGCATCCACTTTCTAAACAACATGCCCCTGGAAACCCTATGAATTTTGACAAATGTTGATAGTTGTAGAGGGGCTTCAGGCCTTTTGTTCATAGTGTCGCTATGAGTTGTGCTCAACTCAACGCCAATCAACAGCAATTGCTATAAAGCTTTAAAGTTCCTGCTTTGTAATATTTTATTTTCAAGGCTATTTAATTCTGAGCTTACTCATTTTCACTTCGCTTAAAGTGCTTTGCCTTCAGAATTAGGTGCTTTCTAACTAAATAGATTTATAATCCATTTTAATTACTTGGCTTTATAATTATGTTTAGTGTTTATTGTCTGAATTATTGTATTTTTAGTTATTGGAGTTTTGAGTTATTTATTTTTAATGTTATTTGTTGAATTTAAAACTGACTGGAATTTTTAAAAATTATTTAAAATTATTTCATTTTGGAGTTAATTTATTTTCAAAGTAAAATGGTTTGGGTTCTTTTTAAGGCTTTTAAAAAAAACTTTATTTAGTCCTAGAATTAGTTTTAGAGTAGTTTCTGTTTAGTTATTTCTTTTCCTTTATTTTAGGTTCTGAGTTATTTACTTTTACATTGGTGTATTAAACGGTTTTGAAATTTTTAATTATTTCAGAGTTTTGGGGGTTTGAACATCATACTTGATAAACTTTATTTATAGAGGCTATGTGATATTTAATTTTCAAGTTATTTTCAGTCACTTTCAAATATTTCTTGCCAGTTAGATTTTTTTCCCCCAACTTAATTTCTTCTGTTTGGTGTGTTTACATATTTCATTTTCAGATTTCTTTCTGTTCAGAGTTATTGAATTCTTCTGTTCAGTTATTGAATTCTTCTGTTCAGGGTATTGGAATTCTTGGTGTATCAGTCAGCATCCAATCAAGAGAAAGATATAGCAGTTATTTTAACAGAGAATTTATTATAAAGAATATATAAATAAGAATTTACTATAAAGAGTTCAACTACCAATAAACGGAAAAGGAACAGACAAGTGAGAATAATGAAGTATCACAGTGATTGTTAACTGCAAGCAGCAGCTGCGATCACAAGGACTAGAGAAGCATGAGAAAGAGGTTGGAAATGTTTCAACTCAAAAGGTTGGTGGTGGCCCCCAGAAGCTGGGTGCTGTCCACTTGGCATTGGGGTCCTGGATCCAAGTGAGGGGCTCCTGGAGTAGAATTTTGAGGAGGGGGCACTTCACCTGGTGAAGTCTCCAAATGATCCCACCATGCTGGTTATGGGCCTGTTGAGAAAATAGCATAGTTCTGTTTCTGGACTCCAGGGCCAGTCACAGGGATCTGATGATGGAACCACAGCCTCCAAGCAGAGCATGAACTTAAGCAGCCTTAGGGTGCAGATACCCAGAGCCCATTCCACAGATGGAACAGGTGGAGGGCAGGGAATGCTGAGAAACAATGACTTCATAACCAATAGACTTGGCTTTGGAGGTTTTCGGTTTTCTGATTCCTTCTACAGGTTAATTTTAAATCTGGTTGGTTTTGGAATTGTCAGGGGTAGATCTGATTTTAACTTTTCACTGGATCTAAGATCTGACTGGACCTCCTGAATTTGGAAGGGTTGGTCAACAAATAAAACCTGAAGGGAGCATCCCTCATGACACAAGAAAACGGAAGTCACGTGTCTCCTCTGTTCTTATGTCCTAAAACCTTTGGCAAAGGCAGAGCCTGGGATGGACCACCAGGCATTTTTCAGAAAGCCAAGCTATTTTGTGAAGCCACCTTGCACATCTCCTCTTTCCTAACCACCAAGTACAGAGAGTTTCAGATTTGTAAACAACAGCAGGTATTCTTTGTAAAAATACAGTAAAATAAAGTTCTTCTTAAATCTATAGGAAGTCTTACGGATTCTTTTCTAACTCACATTGTTCCAATTGGGGCATAAGGATGTTTAGATCAAGGAAGTATGAAGACAACATGTGAAGCCCTCTGTCTAGTTGGGGGAAACAGATGTGGAAATAGATGATTACAACACGGCGTGCCACGTTCTGTGGGAACGCAGGATCCTGTCATTGGATCTTGCCGATAGAGTTGAGAAAGGGGTGACCTCTGAGCTGGGTATTAGAGTGATCTGTTTCCGAGTGGAGAAGGGCCTTCTAGATTGGGGGAACAATGTGTGCAAAGGCACAGACACAGGAAGGCACAGTGCACGGTCAGGGAGAATGAGTTGCCAGAGGCCATTGTTACCAAGGTTCAGAAAGGCACCACTTAAGGACTGGTCTTGGATGCTTCCAGGTGCTGCCTCGTTTGGTCCCCACAACCAGCCTACAAGATGGCAAGGGGCAACGTCTCACCTTGTTCCTGATCTTAAGAGTTCCAAACACAGTTTAAAGGGCCTTCTGATCTGACATTTCTAGAAGTCATCAGCTCATTCCTGACTTTCTCCTTCTCCCCCCACCATTTCTACCAGTTCATTCACTTCTCCCTACTTAACTTTTTGGAAACAAGTACCACCTTCCTCTCCCTTTCTCTTTAAAAAATTTTTTATATTGGTTTGCATACAAAATCCATACACATTGTGTTTTATTCATATTGTATTTCACATATTTATTTGCATTGTGTTTCATATGATAATTCCCATATGTTGTGTTTTATAAAATTACCATTGAACTATGACCACTATTACCCTGTCTTTTCAGATCCCCACTGGATCTTTCCTTCAACCCCTTCCTCTGCTCAGCAAACTCTGTGAGTTCATTTTGATTCCCACTTTTGAAACACCTACAGAGAGGGAGCTCTGGTGACCTAGTGACAGAATCTGTAATGCGTTCCCAAAGGCCCACTGTTCAATATTTTTCTGTGGGAGAAGGATGGGAAGCCTCCTGTGCAATTAACTACCTCTGAAAACTCAGCTATGGGTAGTTTCTGACTCTGGTACACAACAACAACAACATAGAGAAAGAGGAGAGCTGCGGCCAGTGGCTACAAAGTGGGAGGTGTAGACAGAGGCAGAAAAGGTTACAGCAGAGGTCGGCTATGGGGAACCTTCCACAGGAAGTTGTGTGGGCAGCATAGCAGGCGCATGGCCATTCATGACTTCCGGCTGCTTCCACAACTGGTGAAAGGGTGACCCTTCAGAACCTGCTATGGTCCCACCTAGGCTTGTGAATCCAATAGACTGGGGGGGTTTAAAAGCACACAGAGCCCTTTGCGGCATGTCAAGTGTAAAGAAAGTCTAGTCCTGTACAACCTCTGGCCTCTGGTAGCCTAGCAGAAAGTTGCACTGTCAACCCAAAGGAACCAGTGTGAATCCACCGGTTCCTGTGAGGGAAAAGGACAGGCAGCCTCCTGTGCCATGTACTCTGAAAACCAATTCCAACTCCACGGCACACAACAGTGCACACAACCTATGATGGCATACCTACAGAAAAAAATGTTTCACGCTTTTTTGAATATACATTCATACACTCAGCCTTGTATATATACACAAGTGTATACATGAGTTCATCCGGAATACCTCAGCAGACTTCTCGGTATTCATCTGATTATCTTAATAGTCACAATGGGTCTAATGTTCTATGAGAATATGTGAGGGATTGGTAGGTTTGCCTTCTCTGTAGGTGACCTGAGTTCAAGTCCAGCCAATGTTCCTCCTGCACAGCCACCATTCACCAGCTGGCAGAGGTCTGTTCTGGCTAAGACAGACGAAGGCCCGGTAATCTACTTCCAAACTCTAGACAGGTCACAATGCTCTAATCCTAAGCAAGCCACAGGGACAGCAAGACGTGGTAACACTTCATCTGGTTATACACAAGGTCACAACAAGTACCAATGCCAACAACTTCAAGGGATTCATATCTTAGCCAAACATAAAAGTGGTTGGGGTTCTGTTACTGTTATTTGTCATCAAGTCAGGACTGACTCAAAGAGGACCTTCCAGCAGTTTCAGAGGCTGTAAATCGCATCAGAGGAAATTTCTGCCTCAGGGTACCTGGTGGATTTGAACCACTTGCCTTTGAGTTGGCAGCACCACTCCTTACTAGACCAACAGAGCCCCTTAAAGGTTTGATTGCCAATAGGAAACACATCATTTTGGATCCTTTCATTCTGACCACTCTTCACTACAGTCATAGCTTTCTCTAGCCTTCTCTGATTCTACAAAACCATCCACACATGATTGTGCTAATAGACCGCAAAGCACTAGGACCCCACAGGCCTCACAGGAGGAACATCTCCACACATCTCACTTCACAGGTGGGTGACCAGAAGGACAGTCAGAACGATAGTCACTCTTGCTGAATGTTCCTATGGTGTTGCTCCCAGGGGTGG